AAAACTAGGTAATTTTGTTATTATTAGGTTAACTGTATTCTTAACGGTGAATTTCAAGAGCTTATGAACGTATACCTAAATTAAAAACTATGAACAGCAAAATCATTTTGACAGATCATAATAATAAATAATTTGTTCAGTATATAACAATGGTTGCATTAGGCATAACATTTGCATATTTGTTTCCAAGCATCCCTGTGATTAACGATATCATTGTAAATTACAGTAACTTCGCCCTGTGGTTAACGATATCATTGTAAATTACAGCTTCGCCCTGTGGTTAACGATATCATTGTAAATTACAGTAACTTCGCCCTGCGGTTAACGATATCATTGTAAATTACAGTAACTTCGCCCTGTGGTTAACGATATCATTGTAAATTACAGTAACTTCGATAGCCGTTTAAACTTTATCCATATTTCCAAATGCTCAGCGTTTAAAAACTGTTATTAAAACGCAATAAACTAATGCTTCCTTGTTATGCTTGATATGAAACTAAAAACCAATATTTGAAAAGCCTGACTAACAGAGCTAAGTACGTCATATTACAGTAATTGAGAATAGCATCTATGCTATGAAAATACCCAACTCTTTTCATTTCCAATCACCATGAAACTTTCAGTAGTTCTTGGGCATGCCCTAGAGAAATTACAAAACCCATTACTTTATTTATATTTTATCCATTTTTACGAGCTTGACAGACATTTCAATTTTTTTTCCTTTGCTATTGTTTTAGAGTTAGCTTCTTGAAACTTTCATTTTCCCCCTTTACGACTTTCTCAGCCATCTTTATTCCATTGCTACTGACGACAGTTGATGGATACATATCGTATCCTCCATCCAAGTGAAGGCAACGAAATAAATGCCACGATGGGAAGCTGGTACCTTTCCTATTATACACTAATGGTGATACTATAGTAAAGGAAACTGATTAGAGATATTTAGTTTCGTAAACCCATATAGATATTTAGTTTCGTAAACCCGTATAGATATTTAGTTTTTTTTAAACTGATATACCAGCATAAGTTACATGAACATTTACAAGTTTTCTCATCAATAGTAAAATCTTTTTATGCACACTAAGTAAAATTTAATCAATTTAATGTTCTATTTATTATCCATGGTGAACTGACCATCGGTGTATGACTTAAGCTTATATTTTTACTTGAGTGGGTCATTGGTTAGACAAATCAACTTTGCTGTACTTTTAACTATGGCAAGACCTAACAGGGTGGTTAGTCACTTTATAGAAAGACCTAACAGGATGGTTAGTCACTTTATAGAAAGACCTAACAGGGTGGTTAGTCACTTTATAAGAAAAAAATGCATATGTTAATGACGTAACGTGTCGCCACAGCATCTTTCTGACCATTTAACATTGCAATATTACCACAAGTATATTGAAATTAATTTTTAACCTAAACGGCACTTTATGCACACTGAGGATAAACAGTAAGGTTAGCGACTTCTAAGGTTTATTTCCAACAACCTTGAATTTTAGAATATTGACCTGCCAGTAACACCCTTCGAAAGAAGATCTTTGTTCGGCTTTCTGAACTGATTTATTGGATTCTCTATTTCTTTCATAACGAACTACAGCTGACAGTACAAAGTTGTTCGATAGTACCACGTCGGGTCTCAAACCCTGGACCTAAACAGCCTGACACGCTAGTCGCTTCCACCCCGCTGTAATTAGGCTTATCTCTGGACGAATATGTCACAACCCTTTAAAAAGAAGTATATCCGTATAGCTAGAAGAAATGTCATGTTAGCCATAACATGATTAATATCATCAGCAACGGAAGATCAGAACACTTATATGAGTGTATAAAGCCAACTCAGCAACAGTCACCACATGCAGGACTGAAGCAATCTCTGTCCAAGTTCGCAGACTGGTCTTCTAATACCCCATCTTTTCACACACTAATGCTATCACAGTGATTATTGACAAGTTACATACGCCCCATAGTGAATACTGACAAGTTGCATATGCTTCATAGTGAATACTGACAAGTTGCATATGTCCCATAGTGATTATTGACAAGTTGCATATGCCCCTATAGTGAATACTGACAAGTTGCATATGCCTCATAGTGAATTACTGACAAACTGCATATGCCCCATAGTGATTATTGACAAGTTGCATATGCCCCATAGTGAATACTGACAAGTTGCATATGCCCCATAGTGATTATTGACAAGTTGCATATGCCCCTTAGTGAATACTGACAAGTTGCATATGCTTCATAGTGAATACTGACAAACTGCATATGCCCCATAGTGATTATTGACAAGTTGCATATGCCCCATAGTGATTATTGACAAATTGCATATGCCCCATAGTGATTATTGACAAGTTGCATATGCCCCATAGTGATTATTGACAAGTTGCATATGCCCCAATCAAATGGGTAGAAGAAAGACGAACTATACGAAAAATATTTTTTTATGTGAGAGGTAGAAGTACGTTGTAAAAATGGACAAAGGCCTGATTGTATTATACTTGGATAACTTTGACAGAAACATAAAACTTGTTACAGATCTCCAGGTGGTAAGAACATAAATGTTTGGAGACGGCTTGAATGGGTAATGAAGAAAACACTATTATAAATGTACAGCGTTTCGACAAAGTTATGTCATCATCAGGTACAAGGTGGTAAGTACGTTCCAAAATGATACATAGAATGTAAAAGTAGTTATTCGTCGAGCCTTATGGTTACCGCAGGTTTCTCATATAATTAAACTTTATAAAATGCTCAATAGGGTAATAAGAACTCTAATTACAATCAAGATAATTTACAGACATCATTTATTCAAGTTTGTCCATTGCGAAGACGCCGCGAAGAAATAACTGCATCTGGCTCAAGTGTAAAGTGGCATGTTTAAGTCGACAACAATGTTTCTATGCACTATACAAGAAGCTGGTGATCATATTATCTTCTTCTTCAGCCCTTGTGTGAAGTCAACTCAACTAGCTATTCTTCAAAACAGTTTTTTAGTTTTTTTAAACGTGGCCTTGGAAGCCGACCTTCACTTAGAATAGAGGACCTGTGCAATGTTTTCCAAGATGGGCAAAGTGAGAAACCTCAAAAAGAGCAATAGAATATATGTTTCAAGATACATAACGTAATTTAACAGAAATGAGATGATGAAAACCAAAGATCTAAGTAAGGAGCTAAAAGTGTAAGTTTCCCCTGTAAAAGTATTCTGATTATCGGAAAATTAAGAAACATAAACATGATTTAACAGAATTGAGATGATGAAAACCAAACGATCTAAGTAAGGAGCTAAAAGTGTGAGTTTCCCCTGTAAAAGTATTCTGATTATCGGAAAACTAAGATTATGTTACAGTAAAGAAAATGTAAAGCAAGGAAGGAATCATTACAAAAAATAATAGAGAGCTAAAGCCATCCTAAAAGAGATAAATAGCAATATTTAGATTTAAAGACATCATCAAAATATAAAAAAACACTTCTCATAATGAGAGCTTTTGCGATCGTTCAATGTAGAAAACAAAAGACTTTTACACATTGAATTATGTATTAAAAACTAGGGTTCATGTATAAAAAACGTGCATTATATTGCTATTTACATAACAAATTTTAGACCTATTGGTTTTCAAAAGTTCGCTATCTTTCAACGTTCAACCTTGGTTTTTCTTTTCGAAATTTCCTTTTGAATCTCCCACTAACTTTTCTTAAGGCCATCTCATTTTTCTGGAATAATTCTTCTCATTCATATAGTTTATTACGTGAGAAAAATAAGCCGTATACATTCTATGATATCCAAAGATTCTTCCTTATTTCTGAGTGTCCTTTTATATTTTCATAGCATTTACCTTTTGACATGTTAATTTTTTGTGAAATCCCATAGTTTTTTGAATGGTTTCGTCCAAATTTTTATTATCTATCTATTTTGAATTTAAAACGATCCTAACTTTCCAAAAGCCATGCTATTCTTACAAAGGGCGCTAACCTTTGTTTTAGCATCATTTAGTTTGATATACGTGCATCTTGAACTGTAACTTGTGAGGGACAAAAAATAGAAATGAAATGGTATTTACATGTATCTCTCTCACTTGAAACCCATAATAAACAAATTAAAAGAATGTGAACAAAAATAATTCAGTTTGAAGAATATATTTATTTTTGGAAGATTAAACAGGTTTAAATTACTTGTTTTAACCTATTTGAAATGACTTTTCAATCTATTAACTGAACGTTTAAAACTTTCAAACGTTTGTTCAATTATCTCATTTAGCTTTTACGTATTTGAAATGACGTTCATAAAGAAGCTGAATGTATACAAATAAACATTTTTCTTTAATACCAAAGCATATTATCATCTGTACATAACCACAAAATCGTTACGTCAGGATAACTTATCCTAACCGTGAATAATAAAGATATAAATACAGTATGAGTGGAAAACAAAATGCTCATTTTTTAAGTATAGAAAAAAAAAACATACATTATTGTGCTAGATAACGTTTATTGCACTCCAATTACTCCAAAAAGAGATATTTCAATTTCTTGCTGCCTTTTTCAATAACAGCTTTACTTAATAATTATATTTTAAGAAGATAACTATTAAAGTTAAGAGTTGAACTAAACCATCTAAATCTGTTAAAATATATTCCATTAGTTAAAACATTATATTTTATGGTTTTGACAGTTTTATTTTGCTAATTATATATTACTAATCCGTTGCAAAATTTCTTAGATTCAGATAAATTTATTTTTAAATGTACATACCCATTTTCAAAATAATCATTGGTGTTTATCCTCAAAATATAATCCGTAAACTTGAATTGTTCCCCCCCCCCCAAGTGGCTCAGCAGAAAATCTGAGAGCTTAAAAGGAATTTCTACGTCAGTGGTAGGCACGGTGCAGATGTCATTGTGTAGCTTTGTGTTTAGAAATAAATAAATTATTTTCATTACTTTAGGAAAAATTAAAAGTATATTGTAAATCAAAATGAACTGTTACTAATATTTCAGAAAGGGAAATCGTCTTTTGCTAGCGTTTTTATGTATACGACAGACTTCAATTCAGAGGGAAATTACAAGTGTGAAGTTTCGATAGGACCTCCTACATTCCAAACCATCGTTTCCAAACCTGGTTATATGCTGGTGAACGGTAAGTAACACCATTCAGATAAAAAAATAAAATAAAGAGGGAATCTTCAATAGCCGCGGCGCTTGAAATTTGTTTAGGCAGGATTAGAGTAAGTTAATCTATGAGACCTTGGGCGTGGCCAAATACATTATTTGAAAGGGTTTCACCTCCTGAGTCCGAAACTGTAACTAGATCTCAAAATCGGTTAAAAGATGACGGAGTTACGAGCTAAAAGTTTGTAAGTGAAAAACAAAACAAAAACTCAGAGCCATTCTACGAGCCGCAGTGCCGCGGCTGAAAAGAGTTTAGTATGAAATAGAGTAACATAATCGTATAACGAAGTGTTAAAAAATTAATATCAATTTCATGAAATACATATATGAGAAAATATCTGCAGGAAATGCACTATATGTGCAATGATAATTTGTGAAAACGTTTTCAAGCAGTGTCTTTAAGTCTCGGTGTTACTGTAGAGGTTTTGTTTTGATTCGTTAATTATTACATACGAATCTATTGCTCAGGGACGCTACGAAAAATTAGCACTTACAAAAATTTTTGTTATTTTAATAATCAGTATTACTTGTCTTAAAATATTTTGCTCTTATAACACAGGCCTGCAATGGTTTCATTGTCTTGAAATGTTTACATGTTTATGGTAATTCCTGTACGCTAAATACGAAAATAATAATCTACTTTTCTCCATCACGTAAGATGTTTCACAAAAGGTCATAACGCAATACATAAAGAAAAGCCCACAACACGTAGTTTTGAGAATAAAAGACGTAGATTTCACAAAAAAAAAATCAGGATGAATGAGGATGCATATTCGTTTG